ATTGTAATGCTCTACTTTGGGAAAGTTCAAGAAGGATAAATATACTGCTTCGCTTCTTTAGAGTAGTATAGCTTTACGAAATAGCATAAACAGTTACAAATTCAAGATTTATCATAAACTCTATTTTACACAAATCTAAACTTTCAAATCATTATTATTAAACATTGTTTGGTTTTTAAAAAATTAAATTTCTAAAAAACATTTCAATGTCATCAAAGATGACATTTTTTTTAAAATATATCCTTAGACATGCAGCAGTCATATCTGAAAATATTTATTTTGTTAAACATGTTTAAATGAGTTCCTAATGCAATCAGTATTTTGGCACATTCTGTTTTCCTGAATCAGGACTAAAATTTCAATTCAGGAAGAGGAAATATTGTGGAGTTTTTCACTGACATTTTAGACTTGGTTCAGTTGACTTCATCCTTGTTATCATTGTCACGGGCAACTGTTACTCTATTAAGTTCAGTTTTACAAACTACTTTCCTCTTAACAAATATGCACATGACAAAGATGTAATAACTAGGAAGCAAATATATTTTTTCTGAGTAACCAATCTGATACAAATTCAAATTTTTACTTGGTTAATCTGAAAACTCTCCATCATTGAATCACTCCATGTTAGAAAATTGGCTAGTCTCTCATGTTGACCCTGAAACAAAGCAATCTTTAGCAAGTCTAGATTTCTTCAGTTTGAAAATGAAGAGATTTTTTTCTGGGCTCCATTTTATTAAAAATTCAAAACAATTTCAGAAAACAAAAATCTTAAAATATTTTCAGACACTAAATGTCAGTCTAATATTTGTCCAATGCATTGTTTTCACATGTCACCGTAAGTCTGATAATTTTAAATAAGTATAATTTAAATCCAAATTCTTCAAAATTTAAAAGTGTTTGCCTACATATCCTCTCTTCAACAGAATTCTAAATATCTTATAATTTCTTTTTCACATCAAACGTTTGTTAACAAAGCCATCAATCCGTCAGTACACATTTATTCCCCCTCAAGTACAGAGGGAACTGCCATCACATATTGCCATGGTCTATTCATCAAGCAGAGGGCAAACACGCATATCATGGTATGGAATTCAGAGAATGCAATTATCCCACCAACATAATCAATCCGCTGACCAGTCCAGCTTGTATCAGCTGAGCACAAAGACAAACACTGTAACTGACCGCCTTATAGACCAGACAGAAACCTCCATTCTTTTCTCAATAAACAGCTTGTATGCACAGGGTTGCGTTTTTTCGTCTCGATATTTACCTGTTTCGTTTACCTGTGAGTCAATCTAATTTGTCAGGTAAATTTGGGCCTCTGTTTGTCAGCATGTGGTGGTATTTGAAGGTGTTTAAAGCATCGGGTGTTAAAAGTAGTACACAATGTGATCAGTTTTTCAGCAGGTTTTTTTCCTGTTTCAGGATTCTGATTCAATTCAGGAAGAAGGAAATATTGTTGTCTTTTTTTTGTACTGACATTTTGGCTGTTGTCAGTTGACCTCATTGTTGTAACACAGAGGTGTCATAATGTCACATTACATTCACACAAAACTAGTAATTTCCTCTCAAATGAATATTCATGACGCATTTAAAGTGTAATAACTGTGAAATATCTTATTCCTATTTCATCATCCTATGCCTCCATGAAGATCGGGTTTGAAATGGTCTTCATCAACCCATGCTTGTTGTAAGAGGCGACTGACGGGATCGGGTGGTCAGGCTAACTGACTTGGTTGACTCATGTCATCATTTCCAATTGCGTAGATCGATGCTCACGATGTCAATCATTGGATTACTGGTCCATACTCGATGGAAACAGAATACCATGTTTGAAATTGAACCCAGGTTGTTTTTGTGAGGAGCCAATGGTTAACCACAAGGCAATCCCACTCATACACCTACCATTTCAGAATTGAATACGTAGGCAAGAACATTTTATTGCAAACAAATTTATATTCAATCTTATGAAGACAAAATGATAGGAATCAATGATCCCCACATTGCTATTAACATGATTAATCAATTTATTTCTAAAAATAGAGGAGTAATCCTGGATTAATGAATTTTCAGAATAATGAACTGAGGGTATGCACTTAAGTACTATTCATTATATAGTTCATTATCTTTTACCCTGTTGTGCAGGTATTGTAATGCATGTGTGTGAGTGAGTATGGTTTTACGCCGCTTTTAGCAATATTCCAGCAATATCACACCAGGAATGGGCTTCACACATTGTACCCATGTCGGGAAACGAACCCGGGTCTTCGGCGTGACGAGCGAACGCTTTAACCACTAGGCTACCCGACCAACACGTAACACATTTGTGGAGAGGTTGAACACACAGATTACTGACATGGTATAATATACATTTATCAATCACATCTGATGACAATATCTGATGACTGACTTCATCAAAGAAACAAATTTATCTATGTTTAGATGAACAATTGTTACATACTACACAAAAGAAATTAAAGAACACCCTATTCTTTCATATTACTATTGTGAAGCTATTATGCCATGACAGATTAACTATAGTAATATGAAAGAATTTAGAGATCTTTAACTTCTTTTGAGTGGTATAAATAAATAATCATAACTATTATCATCATGAAGGGGTAATTTCTTAACTAAAGGATTTCACTGAAACTTAGTCCTGCACCATGACTGTGGAATATATTTTTTTCATGAAAACAAAATCCATCTAGCTTTATATATACAAGAGTAAACCTAGTCAACTCTAGCCAGCTCTAGCCAGCTCTATTCCACAGAAATCAGCATCAGGAAAATTAGTTGTTTTAATTTCAGGAGAGAAATGTTTTGTGTAAAAAAGATTTCATTGACTATATGTTGGTCTAACGGTAACTCAGTGCTCAAAGGTTATGACAGTTAGATACTATTGTTGGTTATTTCCATAACCCCAATTGTCAAACGCTGTCAGTAGGTCAGTTACAAATATGTTTGGTCAAGGACTGGGTCATAAAAATGTTTGACTCAGGTGTTTTTAGGTGGGTTGGTTGCATATGGAAAAACAAACCCTTCATTACACTGACCTAAAATATATAATTCATGAGCATATATTTAGCCTAGCTTGTGGTTATGTATTCTTGGAGCATACTGCATACAGGTGCATTAAGCTCCACTATCAACAAGGGAAATCTGATACCCTTCATGCATACATCACTCGCAGGTTACAGATCTCCGATCTCCGAACTACCTTTCATAGACACACATCCATTAACACTAACAACATTAATTGAGATCATTCATCAAGATACATTCACACCTGGCTGATCTCAATCATGTCATTATCAACATTATTTTTTCAGATAAAATGGACTTACCACACTCCTTTCTTCGCATAACAAATACTAATATTTGGACCCTTTTTGAAAAGTATAACCTCAATGCCTACAACTTAAACGAACACAATATTGCATTAAACCCACTGCACTAAGAAGTTGTTCTTGTCAGATGCACTTATTTATGATATGAAAAGACATTTCCCTTCAATTTACATTTTCCAACGTGGAGTTGACAGAGGCGCTTTAAGTGTTGGTCCTACAGATACGGTTCATTCATGGCCTGTATGTTATCAAGCGTACAGGATGACTCACGACTGGTGAATGACAGGCAGTATTTACATTAAAGGCATGTTTCATTTGTGCCATTTATAAAACAGTTATGCCTACGATGTTGGCGACCTCGTATATCAACACATTTTTACTGAATATTTATTCAAGTCAGTATGTTTTCCTGTTGATAAGGTTTGTACTGCGTATGCAGTTAAAAACCTGATTTCTGTTTCAAATGTTTATGGGTTTTTTCTGTATCGTGATCAGAGACAAATTTTCAGCGAGTTTTTGCTGCCACCGAAGATGCTGTCTTTCTTTCAAATTACAGTAAACAATGTTTATAACGAACATGCTCCTGACGAACTGATGGATATAATGCGCCATTGGCTGCATATTTTATCATTAACAAACACACTTAAAACGAATAACAGATATAGCGAAATCACTTAGTGGTCCAACGTGGACACTGTCAATGACAATGCTTTATGTTAATCTCTGCTGCTTACGTGTCATCAATCAGCCACAACATCCGCAGCCATGCATGGCTCCTCAAAACGTCAATAAACAATTGAATCAAGTAATTAAATGGATAAAGTACTGACACCTTGACCCAAAATTTACACCCTCAATTAACTAGAGTAAAACAGTGATCAGACAATAGCATTTGAAGTGGGTAAATTAAATGCAACTAGAGAGGAAATTCAGTCGAAATGCCAATAACGAACTATGGTTATGACAAATAAATGATACTTCCATTATAACATTATCATTGTTTCCATAGTACTCATCAGAATTTTACATTTCAGAAATTGTCAAATATTCCTAAAATGAGCAAAAACCATCATCATTCATTTTGTGCAAGTCGAAATCGATTTTTTTAATGCTGCAAACATCCTCATCATCATCACTGAACAAACACATCATATATTTCAACAAAAGTCCATACATACCATTATAACTCGATCCCCGACATCCAACGGTATTAAGCCAGGTTCAACCTATCACTAGTTCTGTCACACATTACAAACTACAACTTTGTTCAAAAGATGGCTTCAATAAGATCATCGTTGATGTCACTTTTTGTTGGACACACATAATCTTTTTGACTCTTCAAATTGTAATCTTAACTCCTTCCAACGGGGATGTTAAACTCAAATCCAGAGCAAACATAGCTGTTTCCCTTTGTAATGTATCTCAACACAAGCACTTGTTCCTCTTCAACAGCTCTCGTTACAAACATGACACACACGAAAGTGAACACTTTAACATGTAATAGATCAATCCATGATTGACACTGACGATCAAAACAAACATGATATCAACACGACAGATTCTCACCTGCAAGATATACCTTCTTTTTCTCCCTATCAGGTGCTTCATATTCATACCTAACTATATATAGCTAAACCCTTTACAGCCTACCTGTCAAAGTGAGTTGGGTAAGCATAGACGTTGCATTGTCCGATAAAAGGCTGAGTCATCGATTTCATCTTCATGCATGTGAGTATACTCCATCTATCCCGATATGCTCCTTCTGAACCATCTGTAAAGCAGCCATCCTTTCTTCATCACCTCGGAGGCTGACTGAAAATGACGAAAAATTGGTGAGATTTTGTTGGTCATCCTACGTGGATAAGCAACATCAGAAAATACTTTGTCATGCTTTCCTCCGGGCGTGGAATGTGCCCTATGGGTAGGCATTACACGTAAGTATGTGCCAGAATAAAGTACACCTTTGTCCCTTCATTGGATACAGCATAGCTTTCCAGTTGAGTGCAGAACATCATACAGTATAGACTGGCACATATGGGCGTAGCACAATAGTGCTTTTGTCACCTGTACAAAGAAGTTCTCACGCAGGCCACTAGAGGGCACTCTACTTCCCGCTCCAACAATCTAAGAACACGCTGAAGTCAACCCTCTTCATACCCTGACCTTAGAAGCTGAAATTGGATACAACTTTAAAACAGTGATCTCTATCGTTATGGCACACAACATTTGTAGATATGCCCAATGCTCTGGCCCTTTCCTTCATGCAATGGAGACGAATCTGATCAGGGTGTTGTTTCATTCACAGAAATGCTTCATTTACTCAGGGAATGTGCAACGTTGTCAGATGAGGATCTTCTCCATTCACAAGATTCCGTCTGATAGTGAACCTGTGCTCCACCAGGGCCAGGGCCAGGGCCTTGCCCTGACCCTGTCAGCCTCATTTCCACCTGAAATGTGCAATCTTGGGAGTAATGTACCTTGCAATTGCTCATTCACAGATATGCCGTATTTGCGCTGCAATTGTGCAACTTCGAAGGTGGTATATCTGCTCTGTTTAGCAATGCGCCTCAGAATACAAGCAGCATCAAGTTCATTGGAAGTTAACTCAAAAGCTTCTGAAACAGTGCTTCATTTTCACCAGACTTAGGAATTCATGCAAAGAAGCCTGTGTCAAATGCATTGAGATTGTGCAGCTTTTGAGCAAGGTACTTAATGCACATCTTCCCAAGGCAAGGGCGTTAATTATAACTGACCATAAAAGTCCAGTTTCCACCCTTGGCAAATTAGGCTGAAATTATGAAGTTCTATTTTGGCTGGACTAACGAGTCAATGCATAGTCCAATCAAAATCGCGTAACGAAATCGGCATCTGGTTTGTCAACTGCTGTACTGATTTCAGTCAATTGCAGGATTTGCAAAGCAAGTGTACCTCCAATTCAGGGTCAACAAGTATTTTCCAAATCTTTTATTTTTTTTAATCAAGGTGCTCATGTGATTTGATGCACTTCACGAAGTAAGACCTGTTTTATCACAATATAGATTTTGATTATGGATCAGATCGTCTTCACTGGACACTGCCATTTTGTTTGATCAGAGAGGTGGAATCTGTTTGGTCCATAGGAAGGACATAGCAGTGACATAAAGAGCCACTGTTGGTGCTACAATCGAGCCAAGCCTAGTTTGGTGAGGTTGGAAACTGGACTTTTACAGTAAGTTAACTCCCTTGCCTCGGGAAGATGCACAGATGTTTAAACACTGGAGTTCATTGCAATGTGTGTAATAATTGTACAATCCAATTGGTAAAATGCCTTCTTTTTCACACATACAATTTACTGGTGGATAAATCCTAAAACCAAATCCATTTGCACCAGAAATGTACCTACAGCCTGTTGAACTAGTCAAACCATTTGCACCAGAAAATGTACCTACAGTTTGTTGAACTAACAAAACCGTTTGCACCATAAATGTACCTATAGCCTGTTGAACTAGCAAAACCATTTGCACCATAAATGTACCTATAGCCTGTTGAACTAGCAAAACCATTTGCACCATAAATGTACCTACAGCCTGTTGAACTAGCAAAACCATTTGCACCATAAATGTACCTACAGCCTGTTGAACTAGCAAAACCATTTGCACCATAAATGTACCTACAGCCTGTTGAACTAGCAAAACCATTTGCACCAGAAATGTACCTATAGCCTGTTGAACTAGTCAAAGCTATTTGCACCAGCATTCAGCAATGAATCAGACAAGAACGCTCCTTTGGTATCTGAAATCATACACCCAGCAAGAAATGTATGCTGAACCAATTTTATTTTACGCTCATTTCTACCCACACATTTTGGCCATATTTCATGTTAACATGCGCTTCGAAGTGGAGGTTTTGGATATCTACAATATCATCCTGTGTTAAATACAATGATGACTTTCTTCGCTGCCTTTTTTTGCCTATTATTCAACTCCTCTGAAATCAAGCTCTCCAGGATACAGCCGGGAACATGACTGATACAATTGTACACTCCAGTATACAACCGAACAATGACAATTGTTCCATACGGATGACAAACTAAGACAAAAACGTCCTCAACACACAAACTATGTATTATTCTCTTCACACAGTTCCCAGTCAAGAATAGCTCAAATCCTCTTAACGACCAGCACTATGGCAAGACAATGTCTCAGCCCCACCGTAATCTCAATTGACCTTTGACCTGAACCCATCACGGCTCTCATTAGCGTCTAGACCACAGATAACACCAAGTTCACCTGTGTCCCACTCCCAATACCAGCTTGCCCCAGAAAAATAAAACCCTTTGTCTTGGGATCTTTGAAGACCAGTGCCAGATATTCCTGGCAGACCACAAGATTCAGCACTGACTATTATTCCATACAACCAGTCTTGGCAATAAGTGCAATGAGTTTTAAGTAGGAATACAGATCCCAAACTTGTACAAAATACAGTATTTTGTATGTTGAAATATACAATTTTGGTCATATCCCAATCCTGATCAGAAAGCATAGTTCTCTATTGAACCTTATTAACTGAATTCAATTTTTCAAATGGATGCCAGACAGAAGATTAATGGTTTATACTTATCACTTTCACTGGAGGTAAATATAATTCTAGTCAAATGGGGCCGCCTCTGTGATCTAGTGGTAGAGCATCCGCCCGGAGAGCGGAAGGTCCGGGGTTTGATCTCCGGCCGTGTCATACCAAAAGACGTTTAAAAATGGCACTTGTTCTTACCCTGTCTGGCGCTCGGCATTTAAGGACCAAAACAAGGACAGGTATACTGTGTCTAAGTGGGATGCTATCTCCGTGAGCTAGCACTATAAATCGGCATCAATCCAGACTAGTACAAGCAGCCACACAATGGTTATATGATTTGTGGTGGGAAGATAAGGCTGTGTTTCCATTTTATTAAACCAACGACTGAACCCTGACGATGGTCATGTAATTGTTGTTTAAACATAGTTTAAAACAGTTTTATTTCAACTGAAAATTGGGATAGGTAAATAAGACAGCGCTTGTTTGAATACCTCTCCCTACATAGAAATCAGGTAACAAAGATAATCAAGGTGTATACATATATAATATGTACACAAAAAATACCTTGGTGGTCAGTTATCAGCATGATCAGCAGTGTCCGGTTTTGATAGTCAGAATCATGTAATTATAACATGATACAATATCCTTATTCACATGAACTTAACTATACAGTTAGTCAGGACAACAATGATATATGAGTTTATAGTATAACAAAGATGAGAATAATATAGCTTTGACCACATGCTTGTGATAACGATTATTAAATATCATATTTTTTTAGACATCTTCTGAGGTCAAAATTTGAGTCAATATATCAAGCAATTTTTTTGGTATAACAGATTTATTTACTATCAAGTAAAAAAATAAAATGTCTATCTTTTCTTAATTTATTAAAGTTTGGTATTTTGGACGTAAATATTTCAAACAGTCTTATGGTAGACATTTGAAGGGTATTTCCAAATTGGACACCTACATGACAAAATTGGCAGCTGATGCATTTTCCTATTTTGCTTTTTCAGCTTCAGGTGAACAATTGACTTGCCTTTGCTGGTGTTTGTGATAGCAGCCACCGGTGAGGCAGGATATGCCTCACTGATTTCTGTGTGAATAGCTACATAATTTACATATGCTCTTTAGTGCAATATGTTTATTTATCATTATTAAAAACAGAAAATATTTGTTCTCCATGTCATCTGCTTTCATCAATCACCTTTGTTAATTTCCAAACATAACTCTAAACAGAGAAAATGAATGTGTTCCAACTCAAAACCATTACAATGTTTGAGATTTGAGAACCGAGTAGTAGATAAAATACCCTTGACATATTAAAAACAAGTTTTACAAAAATAACTCCTTCCCAGAATTTCTTACATTTTACAAAAACCCAAGTCATTACCGTCTTATTGTCAATTGTGTAACTTATATGACAAAGTCCAACTCAGCTGATACAACAACACGCTGATGTTTTATGAAGTAAGACACAAACAAGGGGTTGGAGGCCTCCCCACTGAAACTTTAGCAAACAGACAGTATTGTCAATTGTATTCGCAACACAGTCCATCATTCTTTAACTCTTTAGTATAGATTCCTGAGACCTCAGTTTATCATAGAAAGAACAAAGTAGATCTGTAGTAACACACATATACTATTGTTTTCAAAGCAGACGTTTTACAAGCTGTCAAACTCATTTTTCAGATGGCTTGGGAACAACAGTGCAAATGCCTATTCAAATAATACTTATTATGTTGGTCAAATGATAAGAAACATCTTAAAGAGACCCTCTAACTGTCAAAGCGTTTTTAACACATGTGCTCAAGTATCAGTGAAGAGGACAGTGTCTGAATGGTTCTGTTAACCATGACAAGGCACGATTCTGAGGACAACTTGATGACAAGCTCTTGTCATGGTGCATGTTGGACTCTTGGTACTGGAGTTGGGTTCATTTAGAAATACAGTCAAGTCTCGTTAATCCGACACTCGTTAATCCGACTTTATCCGACACAAATGATGGGAACCAATTGATTCAGCGCTATTTAGTCCCGTTAATCCGACATTCTCGCACTCCGACTCCGACACACCTAATTTGCAACGAATTACCGAAATCACTCATTAATCAGTCTCGTTAATCCGACACAGTGATCAGCGTACTCCGTGGTCATCTGCCCGCGAGTACACAGCCAGTGTTTTGACACGCACTGGCTGCAGAGATTAACTTAACAATTAACAGGAAAAGCTATTCAAACCTGTATGTACAAAGCTAT